TACTCCACTGGGAGATTTCAAGCACAGTGCGGGCGCAACGTACTTCAACGGCACGTCCCGCAAACTTCATATACTTTCAACATGCCCCCCACAGGTCTCTAATATTTAAACGCGTTCCAAAAATACCCCAGATGATTCCACGCGCCCCAAAAAACTGCCAAACAATTCAAAACATACCACAACGCAGTCCAAATACACCCCAGCGCCATTTGCGAAATTATAAAATGCTCCAAATATAGCCCAGTGTCGTCAGCGAAATTTCAAGATACTCGAAAGATGCCCCAGTGCCACCTGCGAAATGTCAAACGATCTGGTGGGCACCCCAATGCTATTTACAATATTCTGGGATTCTCCAAAGACGCGCCCGTGCAATTTGCGAATCTCGAGAATACTCCAAAGATATCTCCGTGCCATGTGCGAAATATCAAGATACTCCAGATATGCCCCCACGTCGACCCCCGAGATTCCACAGCACCCCAGGAGACGCATGCCGACCGTTTGCGAAACGCCAAAACACCCCAGCACGCAGCGCGTCACCATCTTCGACAGTTCCAGGTCTCTCAGGAGATGCTGCCGCGCTTTTTCCTCTGAAAAGCATTACTTTGGGGTGGGCCTCGCGGCCGTTTCGCAAGAACGCGGAATTTTCGTAGCAATGCCCTCCCCATTCCCCCCTTTCGCCCGACATCGCGCCGCTGCGGCATATGATGTAGAGGGTTTGCTGGCGGTTCTTCAGGCGCCCTGCGTCGAGGCTGCCAAACGCGCGACGCGCCTTCCTGATGCGGTGCGCACGTGGGCTGAACAGCGTGCCGCTATGTTGCCGGACGCGTGTCCCTCCGCGTCACGGAAGCGTCGCGGCCTCATTCCGCGTGCCCGATCCCGCTGAGGGATTGGCTCTCAACGCGCGCGCGCATCGAACATGTGATGCGCGCCACGCAGCTTCTAGAAGGGAACCAGGCCAAGACTTTTGCATCCATGGTCAGAGTGAGTTTTCCCGCTCACCCGCCCTCGTTGCGCATGACAAGCATTTGCGACTTGGGGCGTGGGGGGGGGGAATGGCGTGGGCGAGGAGGGCCCGTCGATCGGTCGATCGGAAGATTGATCGGTCGACCGATCAATGCAACGACGAGCCCGCGGCGCTCCGCCAGCCCCTGCGGACCCTTCTTCCCGTGTTGCGGCGCCTCTCGCTTGCCATCTGCGCGCGTTGCGATCGGCGGTTGACTTTGGATCGTCTACACGTTTGCATTGACTGTTTCCTGGTGGCCGCCCTCGCGCGGCCTCAGGGCACACGCTGCGGCTGTCGCTCGTCCACGAGGTGAGCCCAGTGGCAGCGAGCCGCGCGGAGTCGGCTGAGTGCGCAGCAGGGTCGGTTCGCATGCGCGCGAATGCGAAGCCATTGAATGTGCATCGAGTTTTTTTTCCGTCGCGAAATGCATGCGGACATGGCCCAAGCGGCTTTGAAAGGGCGCCCCCTTCGTCTTGCGCGCAGGGCGCTTCGCATTATGCGCGCGCCGAAACACGCGAGGGGGAACTCGCGAAAACAAGACGACCCTCCAGCAAGGATCGCGGCTGCCCCGACGCACGTTTGGAGCGCCCCCCCCCCCCCCCTGCACTTCTAAAAGTGATTTCAATAATCCACGAAAAACTACGTTAATACATATATAGATATATAACAAACTCTGTAAAACAAATCGCGCGTAGGAGGACATGCCCGGCATAATCCGAGTGCCCGAGAAGCGGGCTGTGGCGACGAGGGCTCTCCAGGACGAGCAGAGTCTGAGCCAGGGCGAGCAGGGCCAGCTGCTCCGTCCTGCCGGGCGTGCTCTTCACAGGCGTTTCCCTTCCGGTTGGTGGGCTGGTCTGGCTGGTCTAGGGTCGCCCTCGCTCTCTTCCAGGCGGCCGCCAGGGGCGCGATTCGCTGCCGCGCCGAAGTGGATCAACGCGCGCCAGCACCTGCGGTTCCCCACCATGACCTGGGATGGCCACGCTGGGCCCCTGAGGCAGTGGCGGGGGGGGCCTGTGCGCCGCGAGCGCTGAGGGGGCGGAGGTGCTTGCCAGCTCATCACGCTGGGCTCTTTGGGATCTCCCATGGACTTCACCGACGCCATGTTCGCCCTTTCCCCCGACCCCCCGAGACGCCGCCCGCGGCGACGAGGGGTCTCCAGGACGAGCAGAGCCTGGGCCAGAACGAGCGGGGTCCGTTGCTCCGTCCTGCCGGGCTTGCTCCTCACAGATCCCTCTTCCGCTGATGGACTGGACTAGGGTCGCGCGCGATCCTTCCCAGGCTGGCGCCAGGGGCGCGACTCGCTGCCGCGCAGACAGGTGGATCAACGCACACCAGCACCTGTGGTTCCCCAGCATGGCCTTGGATGGCCACGCCGGTTTGCAGAGGTAGCGGCGGCAGGGGGGACTCGGGCACCACGGGCGCTGAGGGGGCGGAGGTGCTTGCCGGCTCATCACGCCGGGTTCTGTGGGACCTGCCCACGGAGAGGAGTGCCGGGGTCGCCCTGGGAATGTTCATTGACGTGGCCCTTGCCTCCACGGGGCCACGCGCGACGACCCAAACAGCGTCTCTGATTATGCCACTGCCGACGCCGCCTATGCCCCCGCCGCCTCCGCCCATGTCCCCGCCGCCGCCGCCAACGCCATCCCCGCCTTCGCCCCCGTCGCCGCCGCCGCCCCCGCCGTCGAGGTCCTGCGCGACCCCTTCGCCAACCTCAGATTCCGCCTGTCCTCCTCCTCTTCCACGTCCTGAACGACGTCGTCCTGCACCTCGTCCGTTTTCCAGTTCTTCCACCTGGTCGACGTCATCCTGCGCTTCGTTTGCATCCGCCGGAGCCTGCATTCCCAGGAACCCTGCCTCCTGCAACCCGGCCCGCACGCCGTCCGCCGCCGCAGGCGAGGCGCCAGCAGCGGCAGCGGCTGCGGCAGCGGTAGCGGCATCAGCGGAGGCCGCCGCCAGGGCAGCAGGGCCCCGCCCGCGCCAGCCAGGCTGGAGGCGGCCGACGGACCCGCCAGGGCAGCTATCGCCGGTGGCCCCTGCGAAGCGGCCGCGGCGGCGGTTGCCGCGCCAGCCGCGGCGAGCACGCGAGGCGGGCAAGAGCCGCCGCCGCCGCCACCAACCCCCGCCGCCGCTGGCCCAAGGGCGCAGCGGCACCCGCAGCTGCAGGCGGGGGGGCGCAGCCGGCCGCGACCGCCGCCGCCGGGGCGCCAGCGGCAGCAGCAGCTACAACAGCCGCGGAAGGAAGGCCACCGACCGCCGCGGCCGCCACCGCCTGAGAGTTGGCAGGCGCAGCGTCGGCAGCCGCGGCAGCAGCTTCGCACCACGCGGCCACGGGGGCGCCGTGCGCGCGGCAAGCCCTGCGGGCGCAGCCAGGCGTCGGGCAGCCGCCATCAGCCGCTGCCGCCGCCGGATGGCCGTGCCGCGCCAAAGCAGCCGCAGCCGCCATCGAGAGCCAGCGCGGACTTCGGCACACGACGCGCACCTGAAGAAGGCGTGCTCGAGCCGAGATGGCTTGAGGCACAGGGCGCACGGACGCAAACACAGAACACAAACGTAATGCAATCATAGCGCCTTGCAGAATCAGGGCACCGCAATGCAACAGCAACATAATGTAATCCTAGCCAACGCAACATAACGCACAGGCTTGCCCACCTCATGCTAGGCTTGGCTATGCCATGCAACGTTGTGAGCATTAGTTTGCTTCGCGTATCCCCTCCAAGTCATCCAGAAACGGTCCCCATGCAAGTTGCCCTAGCCAGGACAGCGTAGACGCACGCAGTGGCAAACAGTTTTTGGACCCGCCTGGTCAGACCCCGTACGGGGACGATAGCGAGGAGGAGGGGGAGGAGGAGGAGGAGGAGGAGGAGGAGGAGGAGGAGGAGGAGGAGGACAGGGTGGACGAAGAGGGGGAGGCGGACTAGGACCGGACGAAAAAGAGGACGAACACGAAAACGATAAGGACTAACAGGAAGGCGAGGAGGAGGAGGAGGAGGAGGAGGGCGAAGACAAGGAGGAGGGAGGTAGAAGACTCTGGCAGCCATCTTGGTGTCGCCTAGAGGCGTTGTCAGTGTCCTCTTGGGGCTATCGCGCGGCCCTCTTGGACTTCGTTTGGAGAGACGTGGGGTCCTCTTGGGACTCTCTCGGGGTTTGGTTTGGGGGGGTTTGGGGCACTCCTGGAAACGTCGTGGAAAACTTGGATGCCCCTTGGGGGCTTGCAGGACATCGATAAACAGAGGCGGGTTCCGAAATTTAGGTCTCCACTTCAGGAACACCCTTCAGGGACCCTAGGGCCGTATGGTTTTTTTTTTGAATCGGAAGCGAACAGGCGATTAGGCAAGCGCGCGCGCGCATCATTGGATTGCTGTCGTGTTTTCAATGGGCCTGGCGTCAGGAGGGGGGGCGTCGCAGGGGTCCCGACACAATTTGGAACCAGTCGGTGGTTCCCTTAAGGTTCCTTGGAGGCATGATGGAGGCCATCTTGGACGATCTCTGGAGGCATTCTTGCAGCATCGGAAGCCCTCTTGGACCCATCTTGGACCGTCTTGGACGCTCTGGCACCTCCGTCTTGGAACCGACAAACTCCAGGAAAGGGAAAGTGATGACACCCATCGCCGAAGGGGAAGACGGTTGTGGAAGAGGAAGGACCGATCTCGTTACTTAGACCACCTGCGCCAAGAGGGCTGGTGAAAGCTTTTGCGCAGTCGGGGCTGCAATGTGCTGCGTTGTGCGATGCCAGAATATCCATGATGTGTTCTGACCTGCTGGGTGATACCATGGGCATCGCATGATTTTGTCCCATGCGGTGAATGCACCGCGCCGCCCAAAAGACGCCACTGCGCCAGGCCCGTTGTAGTAGGCATGTCTGGAACGACCGTCTGCCTCCAGGAGGAGGAGGAGGAGGAGGAGCAGGAGCTCATGTCCCTCCTGCTCCCGCTTTTGCTTCTGCTCCTCCTTGCGCTCTCGCTGCACATGGCTGCCCACCGGCGCATCGTCGCTGGAGGTCGTGGAGCTGCTGTCGTCACCGCTCAAGTCGCAGTCGCTGGGCGTGCTGGACATGGAGAGCAGACCTGTCTTTTTCCGTGGTCTCGTCATCTTCCTCCTCTTCTCCTTGCGTGTCTTCTCCTCCTCTGTCCCGCCCGGCTTGTCCCTGCTTGCCGCTTGGCGAGGAGGGAGGCGGGGAGGAGAGGGACAGGATGGAGGTATAACGCATAGGAAGAGGCTGGGGGGAGAATGGGAGAGGCGGGAGGAGGGAGAAGGAGAAGGAGCACGAGGATAAATGAGCGAAGAGGAAGGATGAAACAAAGGAGGAGGGAGAACCGACGTGGGAGGAGGGACCAGAGAGAAGGAAGCAGGTTCAGGATGAAATGGGAGGAGCAGGAGTAGTTAGGAGGTCACAGGGGAGGGGAGAATGAGGAGGAGGAGGAGGAGTACCAGAGTGAACCCAGGACGCATCAACGATGTTGCAATACTCTTTCCAGTCCCTAGATCAGTCGACTGAAGTAAACTGGGTTGGAGTGGACTAAAGTAGAGTGGATTGGAGAAGTCTGGACTGCTCTTGGGTTGGCTGGAGCTAGACTGGACTTGGGTTTGGATGGAGTCGAAGTAGTCACAGGAGAAAGAGAAATGGGTCACTGGTCGTCTGTGTCGAAGAAGGGAAGTGAGAAGGGGAGAAGGCGGAGGAGGAGGAGGAGGAGGAGGAGGAGGAGGAGCAGGACTGGCTCACCGGTCGCCGTCGAGAAACGAGAATCTTGGTTTGAGGCGTCTTCGATATGATGTTGTTGATGTTGTTGGTGGTGATGATGATGATGATGATGACGATGATGAAGGCGATGACGAAGACGACGATGGCTACGACGACGATGATGATAGTGATGATGATGATGATGATGATGATGATGATGATGATGATGATGATGGTGATGGTGATGGTGATGGTGATGGTGATGGTGATGATGATGACGACGATGATGATTCTAGGCCTCCTAGATTGGGTCGGAGTAGACGGGGTCAGAGGATCGCGCCGCATCGCCGATGCATCGGCGATGCATCGGCGATGCGGTTCGATGTGGGGCGGGTCCCAATGCTCTCCACGCCGACTTCGCCGATGCATGACCGACGTCGCCAGTGCATCGCCGATGCATCGGCGATTAATCGCCGATGTATCGGCGCTGCGGCGAGATCCCTCGACCCCACCCACTCGGACCTCATCTAGGAGGACTCTGAAGATGATGATGATGATGATGATGATGATGATGATGATGATGATGATGCTGCTGATGTTGATGCTGATGCTGATGCTGATGCTGGTGCTGGTGCTGGTGCTGGTGCTGGTTATGTTGCTGTTGCTGTTGCTGTTGCTGATTATGATGCTGATGCTGATGATACTGATGCTGATGATGGTGATGACGGGTGATGCCGATCATGATGATGATGATGATGATGATGATGATGATGATGATGATGATGTAACGTGATGGTGTTGGTTATGGTGGTAATGGCTATGGTGGTGATGCGGATTGTATGAATGTTGGTGATGATGATGATGATGATGATGATGACGACGATGATGATGATGATGATGATGATGATGATGATGATGCTGATGATGATGATGATGGTGACGCTGATGATGATGGTGATGGTGATGGTGATTATGATGATGGTGATGATGAGGATGATGATGATGATGATCAGGAGGAGGAGGAGGAGGAGGAGGAGGAGCATGACGCTTGTGATGATGACGATGACGATGATGCTGACGATGCTTATGATGATGGCGATGGTGAGGTGGAATGCATCGAGCATGAATGTCTCATAAGATCCCGATGGCGATGCTGCGATTATGATGCGATGGTGATTATCCATTCTATTGTACTCGACTCTGCTCTGCTCCCTCTGCCCTGCTCTACTCGACCCTATTCGACTGCCCTACCCTAAGTTACTCTGGTCTTCTCTCTTCTACTTTGCTCTACTCCACTCGATCCTTATTCCTCATGTGTATATCCGTAAGGCCTTCGCCCCCTGCCGCCAGCCCCCTCCCTATCATAATAGGATAGACCAGAGTCGCGTCGGTGCGTCTCGGCGCTGCCTTGGCGCATCTGGGAGCATCATGCGGTGGCGGATATAGAAACCACCAGCACATATTAAGACGTTGGCGTTAACGAAGACGCCTACGGCGAATCACCGCCGCCCCCTGCCTTTTGAAGCCGCCCATGTGGCCGAGCGTTGTGGCAAAAGCTCTGCCAAGCTATCGGACCATCTGGGGACACTCTTGGGGCCTCCTTGAAGCTTCCTGGGAGCCTTTTGCAGGTATCTTGGGGGCCTCCTTGGGCCTCTTGGGGGCCTCTTTGGTCATCTTAGGGCATGCCTGGCCCGTCTGACGCCGTCGGAAGCCGTCACGTCGGCCTCTCTGGGCCGACTTGGGGCCACCTTGGGGTGCTCCAGGGCCGCCTTGGAGGCCATCTTGGGATCTTGGGCGTTCTGGAGGCCTCGTGGGCCGTCTTCGGACCCTCTTGGGGCCGTCTTGGGGGCCTCTTGGGCTGGTCTGGGGCCCTCTTGGAGGCCTCTTGGGTGATCTTTGGGGCTCTTGGGCCGGCTCGGGCCGTCGAATGGCCGAACAGAAGCAAACGCTAAACGTTTTCAAACACCTCAGGACAATCACTGATTTTGGCCTCTTCGGGCCTTCCTGGAGGAGCTCTTGCGGGCTTCTGGGACCGTCTTGGAGACCTCTTGGGGGCCTCTTAGATTGTCTTGGGCCATCTTGGAGCCGTCTTGGTGGCCTCCTGGCCCGTCTGACGCCCTCGGAAGCCGTCTTGAGGTAACCTTTAGGTCGACTGGGGGCCCTCTTGGGGTGCTCCGGGGCCGTCTTGGAGGCCATCTTGGGCGTTTTGGAGGCCTCGTTTGCCGTCTTGGGGCCTCGTGGGGCAGTCTTGGGGGCCTCTTGGGCCGTTCTGGGGCGACATTTGGGGGCTCTTGGGCCGGCTCGGTCCGGCGGAAGATCGAAAAGAAGCAAATGCCCAAATCCTTCAAAAGCATAAGGACAATCACCTCTTCTGGCCTTCCTGGAGGACCTCTTGGAGGTCTCTTGGGCCGTCTTGGGGACCTCTTGGTGGCCTCGTGGACCGTCTTGGGCCATCTTGAGGCCATCTTGGACCATCCCGGAGACTTCTTTCGCGAACTTGGAGACATCTTGGGCCCTCTTGGGCCATCTTGGAGGTCATAGCTGACCATCTTGGGCGAACTTATAGGCCATCTCGGGCCATCTGAGCCATCTTAGAAGCCTTGGAGCGAGAAAAGCATTGACAGGTACATTTTCGGTTGCTTTCTGGGCTCTTCTGGGTGTGGCCTCCTGGGCGCCTCTTGGGGCCTCTCGGGAGCTTCTCGGGGCACGAATACCGAATGTTCGGTTCGTGGTCCCCTGCTTAAGCCCCTCTTGTGGCCGTCTTGGGGACCTCTGGGGCCGACTTGGGCGCTTCTTGGGCCATCTTGGAGCCCTCTTGGGCCGTCTTCGGGCCCTCTTGGAGGCGTCTTGGGCTGTCTTGGGGCGGTTCTGGGAGCTTCTTGAGCCGTCTCGGAGCGTCGGAAAGCCGAAAATGCGAGAAGGCCAACATTCGTCAAAAACCTTAGTAGCATCTACGATTTAGGCCCCGTGGGGTTCTCTCGGGAGGTCTCTCGGAGCGCCCTTGGGGCCTGTTTGGGCCCTCTTGGGCCGTCTTGGAACCATATTCGGGCGCCTTGGAGCACTCTTGGCCTCGGCAATGCGAACATGGCGTAATTTTGCACGGGGAGATGGCTTCGGGAACGCAAGCATAATGTAATGTTATAAGGGTTTGTTGCCTCGGGAACGCGCACATTAAATCATGTGTTACGTTTTGTGGCCTCGGGGACGCGAACATTGTAATGTACGGGGGATTCTGGCCTCGGGGACGCGAATCTCATGTACTTTTGCATGTCCCACGCCCCCCAGGAATTCAGGGAACGAGACCCATGCGCGGTAACCGGCTGGTTTGGGGCTCCCTCCCCGAAAGCAGAACTGTAACATTTGAGACTTGAAACTGCAGGAACCAGAACACTTCGGCCTACAGCCTGGTGGCCCACAGGGAGGCCGGCGGATACCCCTACTCTGTCCCACAGCCGACAGATCGCCCCCACATCCGGGACCTTCAGTCGCACGTGTGATAGAACGATGCAAAGTCGGTGACGTCGTCTCAACATGCACACGACGCCGTCCGCGTTGCACAATGCGTGACAGGAGTGGGACGGAGCGCGCATCCCGGGCGAAAGGCCAACACGTAGCACTCGCTCGGAGCCGCGCGCACGCTCCTACTAACATTGAGCTCCCGCGAAGGCGCGGCGCACGCTTTGCGCACGCTTTGCGCACGCTTTGCGCACGCACCTCCGTCGACGCGCCAGCGGGCGAAGATGTATCGCTCTCGCTTCGGCGCCGCACGGATGTCGCCCAACCGTGGCGTTCCCGCCCCGACGCGACGCACGCGCTTCGCTTCCCAGTCGTGCGGGCCCCCGCACGCGTGGGCGCCCAGGATCCGTGCCCCTCCTCGCTCGAGGCGGTGCCCATTGGCCAGAGCAGCCCCCCCCCTGCTCGACGACGTGGGGACGGCGACGGCGGCAGCGACCGCGGCGTCGCGGAGTGGCAGTTTTCCTCCTCCTTCCCTGCCGCGCCCCTCCCAAGCTTTGCTGCTCCCGCCCCCTGCGCGGCCCGCGTAGTCTCCCCCCCCCCCCCCGCCGCTCTGTTGGAAGCTCGGCCGCGCGTGAGCGCCCACCTGATTGCGAGGCAGGAGCGCGGGCGAGCTTCAAACTCACAAGAGTCTAGCACGCTGGATTCCTATGCTGCGAGCAAAATCCTGGAGGCCTCGCGCGGCGCGTAATAGTAGTATGGTGCAGTCCAGCTGTCAGTTCCGTAACTATGGGTCGACGCTCGTGCGGCGATGCTCAGGAGTCAGTTCGACGTAAATCCGATTCAAGTAAAGCCGACGTAGTCCGACGTGAACCCAACGTAAATCCGACGTGTATCCGATGTAAATCGGGTCTGAAGTTGCCGCGCGAGGCCTCCAGGAGTTTCTTTGAATTTGTGGTGCGGGATGAAAAGCATCGCAATCGGCGAGGCCATTTGGCTCCATCTACTGTTACGTTCCGTCTTGGGGCCAGCTTGGACCGTCTCGGGGTGCTCTTGGGGCCCTATTGGGCCGCTGCGAGTCTCCTTGGGCCGTCTTTGGGTTCGAGACCCCCCCGCGGGGCTCGACCCCCCCCCCTCCCAAACCCCGTTTGGTGGGGGAGACAATGGCACCTTGAGGCCCCCTCTCCCACAGCCGCCTTGCCCTTTGCCCTCTGCGCCGCTGGGCATCAACCGGTATGTTTCCTGACTGTGGGCCTTTTGTCGAAGATGGTGCCAGGCACGCTTTCGATAGACCCGTTGGTTAAATGTCAAGCTTTCCCAGTGGAGATCCCAGAAGCGTGGCTGGACGTTTGGGTCGTCTTTGGGAAGGTCGCCACCCCGCCACAGGAATGTAGTTTTGCCTCGAGTAGGTCAGGCCTGGTTGCCCTCGATAGGCAAACGGGTCGGCGAGGCACGCGTGCCGCGCTTAGCTTGTGGGGCCCAAAACCTGGATAGCACGGCGCCCGAAAGGCGTGGAAAAGGCCTGGCGAAGTACTCTGCAAGGACCTGGAGAGAGTTTCCAAATGACTTTCTGAAGCTGCCGGGCACGCGTATTGGGCAACGCTCAGAAAAGGCCTCTGAGGACACGCTGCTGGCTCAAGCAGGGCTCGCCGAGGCGTGTGGACCGACGCCGGAACGATCTTTGGGGCTACGCTCTCGCTCTTGCTCTCCACGAGCATTCCGGAAAACGATCTGCTCAGGTCGGAGCAGTGTAACGACCTGCTCAGGTCGGAGCAGTTTAACTGGGCGCCGGCGGTAAACCGTCAACCTGGTCACCGCCGGGAACCTCGCAGAGTTCCCTTGTGGAGCTCTTACAGAATGCAAATATAGATTCGAGAACAGCTCGGATAGGAAACGGATATGAGGCTGATCGGGGTTTGAAGCCAATCCTGTTGAGGCTATGGAATCGGTTGCTGTGACTAAGGTCTCTACAGCTTCTCTAAATCTCGAGAGCAAAATCATCCACCGATGACGTGTCAAACATGGTATCGATACGATGTTGGCTCCACCAAGTGCTTTGATAGTAAGATTGTAGCTGCAGACGTGAAGCTAAGACAGGCGAGAGCCTCATGATTCACTACACGGGGGAAACACTCAAATTCCACTAACGAGTGTTCAAATCTTCCAGGATGATTCAACACTTGACCCCAAGTTACCACATTGCCTCTCCTGGCCCGGTCAGCCAACTAGCTCCACTAGAGTAGCTTGGCGGAGCAGTTAAACGATTTGACGCTTCCGGGAGCAGGTCGGAGCAGCTTCACGCCCACAGGAGACGCTTGCCAGGACGCTGGAAAGCACGCGTGGGAAGGTTGCAAGCTTCGGGGGGGGCGCTTGCCAGGACGCTGGAAAGCATGCCTGGGGAGCTTGCAGGCTTTGAAAAGCGAGCTTCGAAGGAGCTTCGAGGGAGCTTCGAAGGAGCTGCGGCAAGGCTTCAGACACGCGTGTTGGGAACGAGTCGCAAAACGTTTCGCGCGACACGCTGCGACTTCAAGCAAGGCGCTGCGAGGATGCCTGCCCTGGATCCTTGGAGAGGAGCTGGCGTAGCCCTGTTTGCCAGCTTCTAATCTGAAGCCCTCCAAGCTCTCTCAGGAGCTACCTGGGAATCTGGCCACGACCCCCGTTGGTCTGGCATCTACCCAGCCATAGTTTCCCCTCTCCTCCTGCCATTCCCCCATTCCTCATCGCCGCCCGTGCCGTTTCGCTTCGTCCTCCCCTGGCTTTCTCCTCTCTCCCTTGCGGCGCCCCAGGAGCATTACCCCACGCTGCTGGACTGCCTCGGCTACTCGACCAGAAAGCAGGTGGGGGCGCGTGAGTTTCGAACGAGCTCGTGGCGAGAAGAGTGAGGAAGAGCGGGGAGGCAGAAAGGAGGCAGAGGACGACGAAAACGAGGAGGCGCAGAGGAGGAGGAGGAAGAGGAGGACGAGGAGGAGGCGAGGATGACGAGGAGGAGGAGGAGGAGGAGGAGGAGGAGGAGGAGGAGGAGGAGGAGGAGGAGGAAAACGAGGGGGCGGAGGGGGGAGGCGCAGAAAGAAGGAGCATGGAAAGAGGAGTCGGAGAGAGGGAGCAGCAGCAGCAGCAGCAGCAGCAGCAGCAGCAGCAGCAGCAGCAGCAGCAGAAAGGGACTGAGACGCGCAAGCGAGGAGAGGAACGGGAGGAGGATGCGTGAGCATCAAAGGGAGGCGCAGAAGGGAGGAGGAGGAGGCGTAGAACGGTCGGGGGGGGCTAAAGTTGCCCCTGGCCCAAGGTACCCTCAGGATTTCCAAGGAGGCCCCCACGACCTCCAAAGCACCCCATCGCGAGGCTCCGAGGGCCCCAGGTTCACGTCGTGCTGCTGACCCGGTGGCGACGAGGCGCGGGCGTTCAAGGCTAAGCGCCATTTGCGGCCCGGACTGCGCCAATTACCGAACTGGCTGCACTGCGGAGGCACGTGCATTCAAGGTTGAACGATTCGGCGAAAGTCGAGATGCGGAGCGCAACTCGTCACATCACGATCAAGCCCGATCCACGTGCACCGATCTCGGGTCCATGGTTGGCTGGGCCCTGCGGCATGGCCTCTGCGTGGTCATGCTGGCTTCCACCATCTTCGGTGGATTAGTGCCTTGGTCGTTCGGCATCCCTCGGAGATGCGCCTGTTCGGGAGGCGAGGGAGAGTCACTGATACGCGAAAGGGGTGAACGAGGAGGAAGAGACGGTGGAGGAGGAGGAGGAGGAGGAGGAGGAGGAGGAGAACCATCTTCCGCGTTGACCGCCCAAGCACACGCGAAAGAGTGGACGATCTGGACGCGTGCAGGAGGCTTGCCGAATGTGGCCCCATCCCATCCCCCCCTCCCTCCTCCTCTCTTTCGCCTCCTCCTCCTTCTCTTCTTCCTCCTCCTCCTCCTCCTTCGCCGCCTCCTCCTCCTCCTCCTCCTCCTCCTCCTCCTCCTCCTCCTCCTCTCCTCCTCCCCTCCTCCTCCTCCTCCTGCTCATCCTCCTGCTCTTCCTCCTCCTCCTCCTTCGCCGCCTCCTCCTCCTCCCCCTCCCCCTCCTCCTTCTCCTTTTTCCTCCTCCTGCTCCTCCTCCTCATCCTCATCCTCATCCTCCCTATCCTCCCCATCCTTCTCCGCCCCTTCTTCTCCCTCCCACTTTCCCCTTCCCCCTTACCAGCAGTGGAGCAATGGAGCGGCCAGGTGCAGGGGAGTGGTGCCCAGGAGGCCAGGGGGGTGAGCAGGTTGTCGAGGTGGCTTGGGGTTGAGGGGTGCCCAGGTGGCCCTGTCCCTCGTCACGGGCGTGTTGGAGAACGACATGAAGTTGGAGTCCGTCGACACCGTGAACAGTCAGCCTGGCCGGGAGGACGGCAGAGCGGTGTGAGATGTGGAGCTTCGTCGTGTGCGGAGCCGTGCCGGGTGCAGAACATTGTGGGGAGCAGGAGAAGGGGGCGGAGAGAGGAACGAAAGAGGAGGGAGGAGCGGGAAATGGAGTAGGAGGAGGTCAATGAGGAGGAGGAGGAGGAGGACGACGACGACGACGACGACGATACTGAGTAGGAGGAGGTGGTGGTGGAGGAGGAGGAGGAGGAGGAGATGGATGAGGAGGGGGCAGGAGATGGGGAAAGGGAGGCAGCGAGAGTGGGGAGAAGGGGGGGACGAGAGCGGCCACGGGGGGGAGGAACGCTGAGCGGCCGGAGCGAGCAGGGTGAGGACAGGGTGGGGGGGGGAGGTGGAGAAGGGGGAACGTTTTGGATTCGGCCCGGCGTTACATCAATTGTGGGGAGGGGGAGGGGGAGGGGAGCAAGGAGCGAGGAGGCGGGGGGCGTGGGGACGTTTAGGAGAAGGAGAAGGAGGGAAAAAGAGGAAGAAGATGAGGAGGAGGAGGACGAGGAGGGTAAAGCGAAGCACGTTCCATCGCCTCGTGCTCACTCAGAAGGGTCGACCATCAAGGGGTTGTGTCGGGTTGTTTTGGCGTGTCTTGAGGTGTGGTTGGGAGTCTCAGTTTGCAGGCGTGTGGGTGTCCTGCAGACTGTCCTGGAGTCGTCGCGGCAGTTTGGGGGCCTCTTGGGGATCTCTCTTTGGGGGCTTTTGGGGGATTTCTTGGAGGGCTTTTGGGGACCTCTTGGGGGTCTTGCTGGCGGCTTCCTAGGGGCCATCTGCCGAAGAACGGGGCCCCACTGGGAGCTCCAGGGGCCTCTGCAGCTTCCTTGGGGGAGCTCTTGGGCCTTGGTGGGGCACTCTTGGGCCGTCTCGGGGACGTCCCGAGAGCCTCTTGGGCGGTCCGGGTTTGGGCCGTCTGGGGGACGTCCGGGAGCCTCTGAAGTGGTCCGGGGGCGATCTTGGGAGCCTCTTGGGCCGTCTTGGACCGTCGGAAACCCGAACAGCGGTGACTTCCAAATCATTGGAATTGAGCCTCCTCCTCCTCCTCCTCCCCCTCCTCCTCCTCCTCCTCCTCCCCCTCCTCCTCCTCCTGTTGAGTTGTCGTGGGTCATCTTGAGGCCTCTTGGGGCCGTCTTCGGGCCACCTTATTTCCTGTCGAACACTGATACCGTCTCCTGGGCCCTCTTGGAGCCCCGTTGGGTTAGTCGGGCATTTCCCTCTACAGAAGACAGATTTAAAACTAGTTGGAAAATGATATAGGGACGATGTTTAATGATTTGCTGATCATGCTTGAATGCGTTTCGGCTGTTTGAAATTTGTCGTCCAACATCGGCCCATAGGAGGACATGCCCGACCTAACCCTTGGGGTCCCTTGTGGCGCTCCTGGAGTGGGGCCCTGCTAACTGGCCCCTGTTGGCCTCGCATCCTCGGTGGGACCTTCCTGGGGTACGTTTCGCTTGGGGATCCCCAGGGTCGCCCCGCGCGCGCGAATTAGAAATGTTCCGAACCTGCTATCGGAGATCTTAGCACGCCTCTTGCCAGTTGGGCCAGCGAATGCTCTTCACGACAAAAGGCAAAAGAGGTGCCGCAGATGACATCACCGTCCGGAGCCCGCAACAACATATTGGAGCCCTATCGGGTGCTCTCTGGACTGGCTTTTACGGTCTTGTCAGGCCCACCTTCGGATTCCCTTGGGCGATGTTGAGCACTCCGAGGCCCACCGGAGGCAAGAGGACGAGATGGCAGTAATAGTGGAAAGCGCATTCTACGTGTTTGAATCAGTTCTGCTTGTCGGATGTACTTCTCTGGAGGATCCATGGCTGCTTGGAGCCTTCTTAGTACAGTATTGGGGCCTCGTGGAGGCATGCTGGATGTCGTATTGAGCCACCTTGGTTATCTCGCGCCATTGTGAAGGCCTTCTTGAGCTGACCGAGTCCATCTTGGAAACATCTTGGGCCATCTGGGACACTCCAAGCTCACAGCGGGCACCCCCGTCCAGACCAGGGGGAAGCGGTGGGGGCAGGGGTCAAGTTCCCAACGGGAATGCCTCACTCCCACCCGCCCTCCCTACAGTGGGGGCCCATGCCAAGAAACACCCTGCTTGCCTCAAGGGTGCCCTGGGTTTCTTGGGTGCCGATGGTTTTGCGATGGAAAGCGTGACGCTCCCACACCAAAAATCAAGGGACGTCCTGGGGTCTCAGGGTTGGGTTTCTTGGTGGGTTTCTTGTGGACTGGCCTCCACTGCATGAGCAGCGCTGGAGACTCAGCCTAGGCTTCTGATTATGTTTTGCGTATTTTTGATTTGGCATCCAGAATCCCCTTGTAGCAGGACATGCCCGACCTGAGCCTGGGCAGATGCCGCCATCGGAAGGGCATCGATCGGGAGAGGATGCTGGCCCGGGTGTGCGGCGCTCGCGGGGTGCCTCCCCGCGTGCCGGGTGCGCTGCGCACGCAGGCGCGCCGGGTGCCTCATGGGCCCTCCTAAGTGGGCGGGTGCGCCAGGTGCGCCACGTGCGATGGCGCGCTCAGAGTGGGGAGTCGGGCGATCGCAGACATGGATCAGGTGGGCGTGGATCAGCGGCGGGTCCCGTCTCCAGGGGAAGTCGCGGCTTTCCGCTGCCGAGCGAGGCGGCACGGGTCGCATTGTGGGAAGGGCACCTCGCCCGATCCATGGATTTGGCGATCGCGCGCCAAATCCATGGATCGCTAATCCGTGTTTGCGCGCCCCCGAGGAAGGCGCGCCAGAGCACGTGGAAGCGCACGTTCGGGCAAAGTCCCCCCGACCATCGGCGTCATGAGCTATTGCGAAGTGGGGGCGGGGTGGTCATCATGGTGCATGCCGTGTCAGCGCGGAAGGCAAATGTGCGCCCCACTTGTTATCCCGATCAAAAGCCAATGTAAAGTATTCGCGGGGGTCCTCCCGCTCACGATACAGATTTTTTTGCCGCATCCTTTTCGTCAAGTGTTCATATGATGGGTGGTGTCAGGGAGGGGCCGCCCATCAGTCGGCCAATCGAGTAAGGGAGGATATTCTCACTAGTAAGGAGCAGTAATGAACTCCCGCATGAGGAGAAGGGGGTGCCACGACGAAGTCCTCTAAACCACTCACGCCCACAGGGCTGGTGGAACTCTCCTCCAACCGCCCACCCATCATTCTCATGTCCATCCTCCTCTGGGAGAGCTCCGGGTGTGCCTTGAGCCATCCAGAGCATTCGGGAGGAGACTTGCTCCATCCCCCCATCCTGCCCCTCCTCTTGTGGATGGCGTCCCTTCGTTCTTTCCGCTACACTCGACGGTGGCGCAGGCGGTGTGCCCCCTCGTCATGCAGCAGCACCCGCTCTTGCGTGGAGCGAGCACGCCTGGCGCAGAGCCAGCGGCGAACGGCAAACCCTCTCGTCCTCTCAGTCCGACCTGGCGAGGTCTGTTCAAGTTCATCGCCCCGCTGGTCACCGACCAGCCGGAGCCGACTCTGCGCTCTCTCCAGGCCCCTGCTGGGGCCAGGCACCATCGACTTCGGCTGAGGTGGGGGGAGGAGAAGGGAGGAGGGAGGAGGCAAGGCGGAGGAGGGAGGAAGGAGAAAGGAGAAGACGGGAGGGAGGAGCAGGAGGAGGAGGAGGCTCTTTGGGACGGCTTCGATCATTTGGGGGACTCTGGAGGCCTCTGGAGGTTTCCAGGACCCATGGGCCTTCAGAGGCGTCTGGGTATCCCTGGAAGCCCAAGGACCCCGACGTGTTATACCCATCCCTTCATCCCGCTCCCCCCTCCTCGGCCAGCCCTCTCTCCCTCCCTGCCTCCCTCGACCGACCCGTCACACCTTTCCCTGCTCCATCCCCGCCTTCCAATCTTTGGTTCCTCGTTCCCTCCCTTCTCCTCTCCCTGCCGAACGCCTATTGCGGCCAGACACGGCAACTGTTTTGGCACAAGGTTTATGCGTTTGCGGGGCAGGTTATGACGTGTCAGATCGCAGGAGCGCGAGTAATACGATTGCACCCCGCAGCCATATTCCCACACCTGTCGCCGCAATGATTGGGGGAACACAGGGCCTCACTGGTAGCTGGTAGTCGACATTAGAAGTAATCTGGCAACGTGCATTTGGGCCATCTGATTGCTGTTTCGGATTCTTTTAGGGCCAACGAGGCGCCCTGGAGGGGCTAACCTGGGCCATCTTGGGGTTCTCCTGGGTCGTCCTCGGGCCGTCTTTGGCGGTCTGGCGCCGTGGAAGGCTTTCTTGGAGGCCTTTCTGGACCGCCTTGGGGCCCTCTTGGGCCGTCTGGGGGCCTTTTGGGGTGTCTTAGGCTGATCTTGGGGGCCTCTTGGGCAGTCCTGGATGCTCCATAGACGCGAAGCAGGAACATCTGTGACAGACTTGTTTGATCATGGGGGAAACTGAGGAGTGTTCAATGTACTCGATATCCCGCGAATATTCTTGGGATTTTCTTGGAGGCCTGTTCTGGTGTTTTTGAGGCCTCTTGGATAGTCTTGGCCATCTTGTGCAGTCTTCGTGGCGTCTCCGAGCCATCGAGGCGTCTTGGAGGCTTATCGCAGGCCATGTTGGCTTGTCTTGGGTGGACATGGAGGCGTGCAGAAGGCCAGGTAGGCTCGATGGGCGGTCAGTCAGAAGAGGGCGACATGCCGGGGGTAATCTCTTGGAAGTGCCCGCAGGACCAAACCTGTGTGTATACTCGTTGCCAGCGTAGACCCCAGGCAGTGTTTGGGTATTCTCTCGATGTGCATCCAATGTGGTGCAGTTGATTTTGGCAAACGAGTTTACACATCCCACGCTCCTGCAAACATCCCATCCCCCCACCCGCAACTTAGTTTGCAGAACCCATGCGGTGGCAATTGCGATTGCGATGCATGCTTGGCGTTGGTTAGTTAGTGCATCTCTGCGGCCGCGCCAACCCAAGCACGCGCGCCAACCCAAGCACGCGCGACGCGGCCGCGGTGGCGGCGACCGCTGGGCACATCCTGGCGGGCACTTCGCTGCGAGTCGGCGACTTGGGCGGGCGCGGTATCATGGCATCGTCGACAACGGTATACGCGATGATGATAGTAGCGATCTTGGTGATCATGTTGACACCGACGACGATGACGGCGTCGTCGCGTCGGTGATGAAGGTTTTGGGAAGAGGTCGGCACGCAGGCGCGGCCAACGCGCGAGAATGGCCCTCATTGTAATTTTTGACACGGATCGCGCCCCCACCCCCATCGCGCGCGCAAGGGCGTCCGAATGATGCCGGCATGCGGCGCCAGAGGCCACGTGGCATAATTCCATGAACATGTTCAACATCTAGTGTTTTTTGATGAGTTCGTAACAGCCCGAGCGCACGCTTTTTAACATTGATGTTGCGAAGCAATGTGTTGTTGTATGTTGTTTGGGCATTCGTTTTTGAAACCGCTGCGAAATCGAAGGTGCTCGACGGATTTCGGCGTGCGCGTGCGACGACGCGCCCGCGTGCACTTCGTTCCATTTGTTGCCAAGGATTCTTGCGACGGCACGCGCGCAAAGGGCGCTCGAACGATTTCGACATTGCCGCGCGAAGCCCGTGTGCTAACATGTTTTGAAAGTGTTGAATCATCTATGGTTTTCATCAAAAATCGCAAGAGCGCGCGCACGTTTTGCATGGTGTGTCGTGTGCATGTATCGTACGGTTTTGCAATACTTTTCGGACATTCGATTTGTTTTTTTGGTTCGGTGCATGTTGTTCGGACAGTGCCAGGGGGGCAGGGCGACGGCCAAAACCCGTGCCCAAAAACGGAAGACGCGGGTCGAGAAAAGCTCACGCTCCGAACCAGACGCGTCCAGAGAGTTGCTGGGATTCGTCGAATCGTACATATGGTGGCATCATGATTGTGCCAGAATTATTGTTATACGCCTTCTTTATCACCCCTCCCTCTCCTGCCCCGTTCCCTCCCGGTTCCCGTCCTCTGTTCCGCTCGATGTGCTGGTTTGCGTTCACACTTCCATCGCTACCTACGTGCGCAGCGTCTGGCCTCGCTCAGGAGGATGACGGGGACGAGGAGGCGCAGAAAGAGAGGAGATGAGAGAGGAGGAGGAAACAGGACGAACCAGTGGAGGAGGAGAGAGGACGAGGAGGAGGTGGATGCGGGAGAATGGAAGAGGAGAGAGGACCAGGAGGAGAGAGGAGAGCGGAGGAGGAGCTGTTGAGAGGAGGATGTGGAGGAGAGAGGTGGTTACGAGGAGCGAGGGGGGGGTCGTGGCCCGCTGAGGATACGCCGGGTAACGAGACCAAGACGGCGGAGTTCGTGTCGGAGCAGCAGCAGGCGCCGCGAGGGAGGACCAGCAAATGAGGATTGGCTCTCGGGATCGAGACACGGACCTCGAAGGGGAAAGAGCAGTATCGACATAATTTTTGGGGAATCTCCTCACGGAGTTCCAGGATTTGCGCCAGAGCCCCCTCCCTGGCGCGTCTGGCGCCGCCCTTGACGCGCTCCGCGGGCAAGAGAGGGGGTTCCAACGCAGATCCCGCGTGGACAATAGTTTATCTGCTTCTTCCTCTAGGAGCTAGGACCATCCTGCCTTTCCCTCCTCCTTCTCCTCATGCGTCTGCCGATGAGTGGGCAGCAGTATACCCCCCCAGCTCGCACGTTGCAAGGGAGGGGAGGGAGGGGTAAGGAGAACCGGGGGGAGGGGAGGAAAGAACGGGACTGGAGGAGAAGGGCGGACGAGGGGAGGAGGATCGGGGATTGAGGAGGAGGACGACGACGCCGAGGAATGATGCTGATGCTGATGCTGATGCTGATGATTATGATGATGACGACGACGATGATGATGATGATGATGACGATGATGATGATGATGATGATGATGATGATGATGATGATTATGACGATGATGATGATGATGATGCTGATGATGATGATGATGATGATGATGATGACGATGACGATGATGATGATGATGATAATGATGATGACGGTGGTGGTGTTGTTGATGATGATGATGATGCTGCTGCTGATGATGATGATGATGATGATGATGATGGTGGTGGTGGTGGTGGTGGTGTTGATGATGCTGATGATGACGATGATGATGATGGTGAGAAAGCGAGGAGGAGGAGGAGGAGGAGGAGGAGGAGGACAGGGAGGGTGATGGGTGATAAGCAGGGCAGGTGTGGAGTAGAAGGAGAAGGGCAGGTACGGGCAATTGGGCCGACGGGGAGGCGGAACGGACATGCGTTTCTAATGCGTCCACCGAGAGGGCCGAATCTGGAAACGGAGCGAATGGGGACGATGATCGGCAGCAATCCCTGTCCACTTCGGACAGGGCTAGCTGTTGGTTTGAAGGCGAACGTGCTCCGATCAGTGGCGGCACACCGCTCACCGAACATCAGTCGTTGTCCATTTCGGGCAGCATTTTCTGTTATACAGGATCCGGCGTGAATAAGGAAGGAACACTCACTTTTCAAAAGTGGCTCGGTCGTTCCTTTGGTTTACATGCGTTCCGCCACCTTTTTGGCGGCGAGCCCCCCTAGTGTTCCTTCGGATTTCGTAGACTGACTTGGAAAAAAGGGTTTCGTTCCTTATTTATCGTTCCTTAGGTCAGGCCGAACACTTCATATTTTCCCCATCCGAGACCGCTGGCGACACGGATTTTTCGAGCCGCCGTCACCCAGAGCTCTCGACCTGTTCTCCCAGGGCTGGCCTCTCATCCCGGTTTCGTGGACAATCCCAGGGCCCCGAGGCAGCTCCCAGAGGCCGAGCTCTGCGACCAAACGTTCCCACCTGACGTGTTTGAGTCGCCAACTTGCAGGACACGCGCTGGGCACCGCCTCAGCAGGCACCGGCGCAGCAGCCGCCTCAGTCCCCGCCAGCGGGGCTGGCCGCGCCAGCTCACCCGGGGAAGTGACTTGCGGCGTCCCCCCTGAGTGGCCCTCGCCGTTCCTCCCCCCTGCGGCCGCCCGCTCTGTCCCGTGTTCGCTCTCATGCATGCTGGCCAATTCGCTACAATGGTGCTCCCATTTAGTTAGTTATATCCGCCAGCGCAGACGACCCTAGGCCCTAGTCGCCGGCGCCCAACGAGTTTGAGTCGCCAGGGACATGTTTTGTGGTTTGCGGCCGGCCAGTCCTGCTACGTACCGTGCCTGGTCGTAGACACGCGTCCCTTTAGTTGCTTCTTGTGGCGTCTCTTGAGAGGCCTCCCGGGGAGTCTCCCGGAAAAGAAAACGCCATAAACATAATTTTCTGGATCTTCACGCGGATTTCTTGGATCCGCGCTGGGGTCCCCAAAACGACGCCTCCAGGGAGGGGGGCCCAGCGCGGATCCAAGAAATCCGCGTGGAGCGCCACTGGTGTATAGTTATGGCGTTTTTTTCTGACCTATACCTCTTCCAGGCCTCTTGCGTGCCTCGGGGGCTCTCGGGGGGGCCTCCTAGGGGTTTACAGGTGGTCCCGGGGGCCGTCACACATGGGGGGGGGGCCAGCTCGGGCTGCCCCGCTTGGGCCTTGGGGGCTGGGCCTGTGGCGATCATGGTGGCACCTAAGGCAACAAAAACGCAGCGACAACTAAAACACATGTGATGATGTCAGAGTGAGGGGGCCGAACGGTCATCCATTGTCCCTGGGTGCGCGACTGAAGTGGAGATCCGTGGTGAAGATTATGTTTGTTGAATTGTTGTTGGTGTTGTTGATGACGTTGAGGTTGATGGTGGTGCCGTTGTTGGTGTTGGTGTTGTTGGTGTTGGCGTTGTTATTGTTGGTGGTGGTGTTGTTGCCGTCGTCGTCGTTGTTGTTGGTGGTGGTGTTGTTGGTGTCGGTGTTGTTGTTGTTGTTGTTGTTGAATATTATTACTTCTAAAGAATAATTATTGTTGGGCCCCCTGGTGCACGCCCCCCTCGCCGCGCCTAGGCCGCAGCCACATTTTCATCATTTTCGTGAGGAAGTCTCAGGCAAAACGGGGGAGTCCGGATCCGGTTGTTTTGTTGACGCCCGCTTTCCCTGTCAAAAAACAATATAAAATGACATGTCTTGTTCTAACATAACCAAACTTCAAGAATCCTTTGCAAAAAATGACACGAAGTGCACACTCGCGCGCGCAAGATGAAATCCTTCCAAAACCTTAGTTTTCGTAGCGATTTTAACATAAAAACATGAAAAACCCAATGGTTTTTCAAAAAAAAAGTTTCAAAAATTCATCCCGCGCGCTCTTGCGGATTTCTTAGGAAACCCAGTACTTTTTCAACATTTCTGTCAAACGGGCTCTTGCGAGCAACTTTTTCACGTGCTTCGAACTTCTGCAACAACGGTTGCGCGCCTGCCAGGGCCATCATCCCTGTCAAATAATACCATATGGGACACATTCGTTTTTTCTTCGCGCGCGCACGCCGAAATCTTCAATTGCAGGGGGAAAAGTCGTATACTAAGCTAGCTTACAGAAAATGTTACCACAACAAGTCATTGTACCCATGCGCCAGTGTAGTAGCCAAGGTCGTCCGCAGGCCACGAAGTGAGGTGTCCGAACGTCATAGGGCGGGAAGCTGGGTGTGGGTGGTGGCGAAGAGTCGTTTGGAAATGTGGTAGAGCTTGAACCGGCCCCCCCACAAAGTGGGGGTATTGCCCGCCTCCTATGAAAACCCTGGCACTGGTGAGAACGGAGTGTCCCCACGTGCTAGTAATTGTTGTTGTTGTTGTTGTTGTTGTTGTTGTGTGTGTGTGTTGTGTTGCTGTTGCTGTTGCTGTTGCTGTTGTTGAACATTATTAATTCTAAAGAATAATTATTGTTGGGCCCCTGGTGCACGGCCCCCCTGCGCCGCCTAGGCCGCAGCTACATTTTCATCATTTTCGTGAGGAAGCCTCAGGTAATTCGATGTGATCAAGATCCGGTTGTTTTGTTCCCCCCCGCTTTCCCTTGCAAAAAACACTATAAAATGACATTTCTTGTTCTAATATAATCAAATTTCAAGAATCCCTTGCAAAAAATAAGGTAAAGTGGACATTCGCGCGCGCAAGACGAAATCCTTCCAAAAGCTTAGTGTTCGGAGCGATTTTAACATAAAAACATCAAAAAACCAATGAACAAAAACATGGTTTTTCAACAAAAAAATGTCAAAATCTCATCCCGCGCGCTCTTGCGGATTCGTAGGAAACCCAACACTTTTTAAACATTTCTGTCAAACGGGCTTTTGCGAGCAACTTTTTCGAACTTCTGCGACAACGGTTGCGCACCTGCCAGGGCCATCATCCCTGTCAAATAATACCATGCGGGACACATTCGTTTTTTCTTCGCGCGCGCACGCCGAAATCTCCAAAAACCATTGGGCTTCTTAAGAATTTTAGCACCGCGCATCATAAAATCACCTTAACAACTTCTGTGGGTGTGTACTCCACGCCAGTGTAGTAGCCACGGTCGTCCGCAGGCCACGAAGTGAAGTGTCCGAACGTCATAGGGCGGGAAGCTGGGTGTGGGTGGTGGCGAAGAGTCGTGTGGATATTTGGTAGAGCTTGCACTGCCCCCCCACAAAGTGGGGGTATTGGCTGGCGCCGCATGAAAACCCTGGCACTGGTGAGAACACTGAGCGTTCGGGTAAAGTGATTGTTGTTGTTGTTGTTGTTATTGTTGTTGTTGTTGTTGTTGGTAGTTTTCTTGTTGTTGGTGTTATTGTTGTTGTTGGTGTTGTTATTGGGTGATCATAAATAATCAGTTATTATTGCTGGACCCCTTACAGGTGCCCTGGCGCTCTCGCCGTCGCGCCGGCTACATTTTCATTGCACAAGAGGCTCACGTTCCGGCGGTTTGGGGGACCGCTAAATCCGGCCCCCCAGCATCAACAACGCTCCCGCTCGAGACTTCCTCTTTTTTGCTCAGGGCTGGTGTTCTTGCTCGCCGCCGAAAGCCGCTGTCCTAACAAAACCAGCGCTCCCGCTCGAGATTTCATCCCGTTTTACCTTGGACTGGCGCGCTAGTCTTTCTCTAATCGGCGCCGCCCCCAGTAAGAACAACGCGCCCGCTCGAAGCTTCCTCCCTTTGTTACTCAAGGCGCTGCTCCTCCTCGCCGCCGAAAACCGCCGCCCCGACAAAACCAGCGCTCCAGTCCGAGGCTTCCTTCCGTCTTACGCTGGACTGGCGCCCTATTATTTTTTGAATTGGCGCCGCTCCCAGCAAGAACAACGCTCCCGCTCGAGATGTCCTTTTTCCCGAAGGCGGTGCTGTTCCTCGCCGCTGACAACCCCCGTCCCGACAAAACCACGGATCCCGCTCGATGCTTCATCCTTCCTTACTCAAGGCGGTGCTCCTCGTCGCCGCCGAAAGCCGCGTCCCCGACAAG